AGTCTGAGATAAGCAGCAAAAAACCAACTTATATGACATATAGTTGGAATTCCTTTCTTTGCCTCTCGAAGTGAGTACGGATTTTGCGCTTCACAAAATTCCAGAGCATCTATGTCGGTTTTGGTGTAAACATTGTAAGTAATTTTACAGCTGTTATCGCCTGCCTGAAAAAAAAATCTATGAGAGCTGGGAAAATAACATCGGACATAGCGATTTTTCACCCCTTCTATTCCGAATTGTTTCTTCCCTTTTAGAGGGATGCAAGACAGCATTCATGCTGGTCGTTTGCATTTTTTCAATGCTCCTGCACCTTTTCTTTTTGAATTGGTATTTCAATTATACGTCTGCTTACTTCGTGTATGGATGTACCGAAAATATGGGCGCTAAATCATGGCAATGTATTTGAGGCTTCTCAGCTGTGAATGACAATCTAATCTATATGCACGCTCTAAATGCAGTCCATGTTTGTTAACATTGTGTGCTACAATCACATTTCAGAATATCCCCCATGAGCGGGAAAGGGGTCGAAAGTTTGTTCCCGAACCCCTCATATGTTGGTATCCCCCTCCGATTCTTCCCAGCCATTCTTTAGTCTTGCTTTCTAGGACTCCAAACTAGAGCTGCAAACTCTACAGGGCCTCTTCTAATCAGTGATCATACGGAGGAGCCTAGTGTATTAAGATCCTGAAAGAGGATGGGCATTCCTCCTGCTAATGAAGTTGCCAACTAGCGTGTGTACCCGCCCGAGCGGACATGGTTCCAAGGGCTAGAGTACCGTCCTCCTGAAAAGACTGCGAGTTGTTCCAGGAGGCGGAGTAGGACCAGTGCTTCATTACGCCCGTCAGTACGCCTTTTGAGTCTCTGTCAATTTTTGCGCCTGTACCGACAAAACCATGGGCGCCTTACTTTTTAGCCAGTGACTTCCTCGAGAAAAGTCATATCGCTGTTCTGTTCGATTTTTGTTACAAGAACGCGATCGTCTACTTGTTAGAGAATGGTTTAGGGCGCGCAAATTTTTTAGGAAGAGAGAACGATGGAGTGTAACAAGTCTCCACTCAAGTGAGTTAGTTTCTGCATTTTTTGGTGCTGCACGTATGTTGCGATTGGAATTGAAGTGAAATATCTGCATACGCTAGGACTTGACAAGCTGACCCCCTGACTTCAATATTCAATAAGTCCTGCTCCTTTACCGCCTTTATGTTGGGTCGCTCAAAATCGCGAACGACTCGCATACGAACAATTTTAATAGTCCTATCTTTAGAAACACTGGCCTTTCCTCCCCTCCCTGGCATGAGCGAGCCTCGGCCATCTAATATTGGGAGTTTCACTTCAGTAACCATGCATAAAGAAAACCTTCTTATACAATTAGTTAATAGCGGGTGAAGTGAATTTGATGGATTGCTCCTACCTAAAGAGTTTCTAAATTTTGGATCCCATGATTTTGGGACATCCTGTGTAAATATTATTTGTATCCAAAGTGAATAGTATGGCAAAATGGACCCACATTGTATAGTCCTTTTCCAAAGTTAGGCGGCCTTCTACAAAAGGATCGCATGGAAATATCTGGAAGCACTCTACATTTCTCCTATAATGCGCCAGTTACAATTTTCTCTCCCTCGCCATCACACCAGATGCCACCTTTACCACTTCATGGATAATGCCTTCTAGTCGGTCACTAACTTTTACTTCACCAAGCCTTTCCTGTTGAGCAAAGATTAAGAAAGGATCTTGAACTATCCTCCAAACACTTACATACCTGTAGATTACGACGAAGGACTTCAACTAACCTGATTTCGCAAGTGAAAAGATGAATGCGAATAACTGTACTAGTCCCAACATTCTGAAAAAGAGCTGTTCCTATTACTTTCTGAGAGAGGTAGCTGAATTGTTATCAGATATGTAAGCAAGTACATGCATGGATTTCCCTCGCTTTGTCGACTTGCCTGTCTGTCAATTTACCTCGGTGCCCGGCGCTATGCTTACGTTAACTTTTGACCTACAATCAAGTTAAAGTGAGCATGAGGGGCTTTCAGGGCTTTCCCAACTAATCGATAGGCGATATTTACCATCTAGCTACAATTCTATTAGGTGTGTGCATTAATTTCCGCCGTTTTTCAAGTGCAAAAACATACTCATTGCAAAATTAAAACTAAATGTTTATTAACCGATGTATTGCCCATCGTTAGCTACAACTTCTTGCCATCTTTCTTGTATCTTGTTGACTCCGGATCTAAAAGGTCTTCATCTTTTGAGGCAACCCTGTTTTCCACCCATTTTCGCACTTCTTCTGCATTCCAGAAGCGTATATCTGCCAAACTGACTTGCATGGACCGGAATAAGTGGTAATCAGAAAGAGCAAGATCCGGAGAGTATGCGGACTGAACAAGCTGATCCCATCCTACAACTGCATTTTTTTTAAAGGAAATTC